AGAAAGGGGTACCTTTTCTGTCAAAATGGTATACAAAAGGGTAAGGGGTTGGACCTTGGGGCAGAGCCTTCCTGTATAAAACTTTGTAGAGTACGCTTCCTCGGCCCCCTCGTCCCCGAAGGTAGGTTTTGTTTCTAATTCGTTTTTTCCTTTTCTGGTGTTGAACATCCGTGCTTCGTTTTGAGTAACTAATGTATTTCTCTGTTGGTATTTTCCTACCTAACGTAGCCATGCTGTAGAAGCTTACAGTTTCCTATGCAGAAAATTGACTTACAATCGTGATATATCCCTACTGATCGAGCTACAAAACTCGCATTTCTTTATCATACAGAGCTAGAAGCAGTACCATTTTCACCTGCCTCTTCGTATTTCCTTTTCACGGATTTAGGATTATACAACGTCTTTAACATTAAAGTACTTCTCCTCCTATTGTGAAGGTAGTCCGCTATGTCCGGGAACTCTGCCTCTTCCTTGTTGGTTGTTAGATCCAGTAGCTTCCGTTTGACTGCAGCCGAGTACTTCCGCTTTCCTTTCTCAGGAAAATTGTTACCCTTCATGTCGCTGTATATGAAGCCTGCAGCGAAGAGTTTATTCTCCAGGGAGAGAAACAATATGGCGACCAGCGCCAGAGAAGCGCCTAGAAAAAACACGCCACTTAACGAGTAAACTGCGAGTCTTTGGTGATGCTCCTCGCTCATGTCTTCGCCGGAAGAGACCCACTTCTTGTACAGCTCACTTGGTCTGTAAATAAAAACAAAATTTAATATAAGTTTGCTTCTACTTAAACAGACACAGACTCAGCTAAAAGGCAGATGTTGGCCAAGACATGATAGACACGTTTGTCATGTGAGCTCAACCATATCTCTAAAAGTTAAGAGTAAACTCTTTCATCGATATCCTTGGTCTACAATCTTGGGTATTTCAGAATTATAATTTTGTGCAAATTACTTCAAATTTGGATTAAACAAACGTCGCTGTTGACACCATGTTGACCCTCTTTCAAACTGCTTGGCGCTCTTGACCAAAGGACTCTAAAAATAATTATAGCTGCTGTAAGAAGTGGCGGGCTGTATTTGCGCGCTACAGTCGTCGAAGCAGCGCCATTAAGCTGACCTATTATTTTCATATGGGAGGTAACGCCTCTACCAAATAAGCCGCTACCACTATAGAACTTCCATCTTCATTCGTCTGTAACAAAAAGGGCTTCTTTTTGATGCAATGGCTATTGCTTTGAAGTTTTTTTTAAAAAAACTGCGCGCTAGTGGCTTGACATTATTTTCAAAATGTTGCGCCGCGTCACTCAAACAAATCTGGCGTCAGGAAGCGCGTACGGACGCTTTGCGGACCTACTCACTTATTCTCAGCCTTCATTCTGTTGATGACCAGGTCGAATTTCGGTTTCCAGGGTGAATTTTTCTTAAAAGCGTAGGAGTATCCACTCTCTGCAAAAGGCGTAGTCGCTCCGACCACCTGTAATCTCGGATACGATGCTGACTTCTGTTTGGCAACTTCGTAATCTATTGACAACACTTCACTGATGAAAATATCCAGCTGCCTACAGGTAAAAAAGAAAAAGCGAACCCAATAAACATTTACAGGGAAAAGTAAAACCCTTTTACATAGTTATACAGTCAAACCTCCACTAACTCTGCAACGGCCACTTTATTTTGTCCCGAAGGACCGTCCATACATTTACTCTTAATTTAACCTCTCTACAACGGCTACTAAGGCACGTCACAACTGCCAAAATAGCCTCTCGACAACAGCTAGTTAATCAACGACCGGCGAACGTGTTGAACAAAACTCAATTTCTATCGTAAAAGGTGACGAAACTTTATCCATACCGCGTGTCGTTAGCATCTGTTTCTCGTCGGTTTCTGTTTCATCAATATATTTTGATTCTGTTACAATAAGCATCTTTTTAAAGATAAAAATGTTGCAACCCCGAAAAAATACAGGTGTATTTTACACTCCTACTCCCCCATAACGGCCACCTCTCAGCAACGGAACATTCCTCGATCTGTCCCTGAGTAAGGTGGCCGTTTTGCAGAAACTGCATGGTGGTAGGAACAGATCTTCTCGTAAATTTTTCAGCTGCTCTAAAGCTTCAGCGACATCAAATTTTCTTGATTTTTGCTAACTGGGAAAAGCGCTAAATTTTCTTAGAAGGACACCTTTGAATAAATGAGACTGAAATTGAGAAACAGGTCAAACCTGTTCCTAACTCGTTCCACGCCATCGGTAAAGTTATCTACCAAGTGTTTCTTATCACGCATGCGTCGAAACATGGACTGCATGACTGGATCTTCGTTGAGTTCAAAGTACGAATCCACATAGCTAGACTTAACCACCCCGTATGTTATAACGGAATCAGGAGCTGTGATCTGGGAGAGAAAAGAAAATTAGAGCAATTCATTATGAGAGCGTCACCAGATACACGGACTGTCGTTAATTTCTAACTTCTATTACATTTCCTTTTTCTCAGCGAGTCGCTGAGAAGGAAAAAGACGTGTACATGTTAGCCAGTAAGTTTCGAATTTTCCTCGTTCGTCTACGCTATTCTGATTGGTCATGATCAAACACCAGGCGCCATTGTTTTGACAAGTGCTAGAGCAACCAAAAACTACTGTAACGGCAACGTCGTTCCCAAAGGCCGCTATCGTTTTGGTTAGCACCAAGAATCGAGCCAGCATTAGCCACAGCGGTTACCCTCTCTACGCATATTCAGAAACCATTATTGACTTTTTAAATGCATGTGCGCAATAAAACCGGAACCAGGAGTTTCTGATTCCTGATTTTTGACTTTGTCCAGTACGTTGAGCATTTGGTAACTGCTGACTAGAGACTCGCAGGTTCTGGGGACGAGATTGCTACAACGCCTCAGATCTCTTACGCAGGCGCTCTCTTTGACATTCACGCAATCTTTCCTTACCCACGTTGGGGAAGAACGCGTGACGAGCCCTAAGAACGTAAATGTAGGGGGACACGCAAATCAAAGAAGTCCAATTAAGGTATAAAGGTTTATGTAGAAACATATTTCTTAAAAAGTAAGGGAGAGGTGATCACCTTAGGATCTTTGATACCAGTAACCTCAGGTTTTGTGTCGTCAGAGAGCAGATGTGCTGTCAGGTTAGCCGTGTATGATGTAACGCACATCAGTGCAAATATCGCCAAGAACACAGCCATGGCACGCGCGCTCAAACTACGAGGTCGCGAGTCCACGAATTGATTATCAAAACAAACTCCCCAGCAGTACCACATACTCTCACTCAGATCAAAGTCTTTGTGGTTTCTAGCGCGGAAAGACTTATGATGGCCATAAGGACTCATACGGTCCGTGTACCATAAGAGCCCTAGATAAAAATTCACTACTCCGATCATGCCCATCCATAGATAAAGGGTGAATGGTCGGAAAAATGAAAAGTCAAGTTCCTCTACTTTCTGCTCGCCCACGAGCACGAGCAAGGCTAGGCCAGCGTACGTCCAGCGCAGAGAGAAATCAATCACCTGCGAACGCGCCTCGTTCGTCATCAAATCGATGGCGATGTCCGCTTTTCCTTCCTGTATGTCCCGCACGACCCCGTTCCATGTGCCCGCCGTGGAGTTTTTAGCACCGTAGTTGCCGTCGCGAACGAAGTAAACCAGAGGTTCAAATTGAAGTTCTGTCTTGACATACCGCAGCACGTCTATGGCCAGCCCATAGCAGCAATGTCTTGTAAAATTCTGTGAATCCCCGATGTATTTCACGCATTCTAGACCTTGATAGCATCCCTCGGTGGCGTCAAAGTCTGCTTTCATAGTTAACGGAGGATACTCCACGACCGCGGCTCTTAAAACAGGTGTCTCCCCTCTGCTTTTATCGTTTGCACGAGACAGATCTCCTGTTTGTAATGTTAGTCCTTTGTTCGTCCATTGTCCTATCTGAACCCAGCCCTTATCTTGGTCGTGAGGTGTTTGTAGATAAAGAACTTCGTAAGAAAGTCGTGCGATGTTGTTGCGTTCAGTGTTCTCCGAATCACGTGATCTAGCGTTTGCCTCGAGTAACCTGAAAGTAGATAACAGGATAACATAATTAAATTACACAAGCTTAAGTTTAGAAGATGCAGAGCAGTTTAACTAGATATTCCACAGAGCTAGCCATACGCCAGAAAAACACTAATGTTACACGCTGCGATACAATACATTATGTGTGGCGATCGTGGTGGCTACGAAATCCGGATCGGGAGGTTCAAGCTCTGGACAGGGTCATTCCCTCGTGTTCTTGGGAAAGACAATATACTCTCACAGGGCTTCTCTGTACCCAGGTGTATAAGGAGGGAGGGGGGTTGAGGCTCTGCTGTCATGCTGCTAATCAGGTCAAAAAAGAGCCATGCGTGACACGTAATATGGACTACGTCATTTTTCCAGTGTTAACCACAGGCTACGAAGTTTTATCGCGCGTACCACCAGCTCCGTAAAGGTTGCCTCGCGTGTCACTAGTTATGAGTATGTTGCTTTGAGATTTCCTTTGACTGTTTCATTGACCACTAGGATTGGAAAACCTTTCTGACCACAGTACAGAGTCTGGATGGAATGCTGTAATCTCAGTTATCACTTAAATCTTCGGCGTTTTCTCAGCTATCCGAGGAATTTTGCAGATCTCGGATCTCAGCGTACAACGGTACGACTTGCTCAAATTTACAATATTGATTTAAAGATTATTTCCAGTCCGTGCTTCGCGGTCTCAGCACCTTGGGCCCGGTTGTTCAAAGCTCGATTAAGCTAACCCAGGATTAACAAGAATTTTGATTTCAGTTTTGTAACTTTTCGTAGAGGTTTTCTATTTATAATGTTTGTCCTTCAGTTTTGAACCTGACTAAGCTCAAACTACACAAAACGTGAGCAGTAAAAAACATTTTTTACAAGAAAAATTAATCTTTCGGTTCATTCTTCATCCTGGGTTAGCGTTAACCGACTTTCGAACAACCCGGCCCTGATGTCTATGTGTCTCACGCAGACTCGATGAAATGCGAATCGATGTTATTCATTACGAACCACATACCTTATCTTTGAGGCCAATTTAAATTCTTTTTTCCAACAGCTTCATTGATTTTTACAGCTGCGAAGTTGTTTCATCGAGTGATATAAGAAAAAGCGAAGCATAAAGCTTAGCATCCATAATGGCGCTTGACATGAAACTTTGAAGTTACCTCACGCAATTAGTTGCCAAATGTTACATTTTGTGATGTCTTACATGATACAAAACAAAAAACGTAAACGAACTCTCGAGAGTGGACAATATGGACTGGAAATCATCTTAAATATTTCGTATTCTTTAAAATCTAATTATATTAATTCTTACTTGTGAAGCTCCTGCCCTTTATTCCATGCTGAGGTACTATAACAGTCTGAAGGTTGTCGTAGATACTGTCTCACTTCTCCTTGGTTCATTGATCCAAACGTTTTCAGTATTATTGACAAGCTGTTCGTCAAGTGCCTTCTATCAAACTCCTCTTCGCTGGCAAACCTCTGTGTTCGAATAGCGTAAATAAAACTTGGAAGAGTGTAAAGATTTGGTATGTCATGAAGTGATTTCTCGGAGAGAATCCATAACATATTTTCGTTGATGAGACGAAAATCCTTTGCAATCCATAGAATAAAATGCGCAAGCTTGGAGTTACAGTGAAGATAAACAGCCTGCGCTGTGCTGGATTTGATTCTTAGTAACTCCTGGATGATATCTCTTTGTTCAATATCAGGCGACCCAAGGTTAATAATAGTTAAAGAGGCAAAGTCACAGTCGTTGTAATATTTCATGACCAGTCCATACGAAGTGTCGTCGCTAACTATGACAAAAGCTCGCCTTTTCCCAACATATCTGAGGACTTCTAGGAACACAGTGAACTGCAGAGTGTCGGAGGGTTCGTTACGAACAAACGTGCTGAAATGTTCCTGAAATATCAATAAACTCAATGTTAGATTTCTTTAGGAAATATCTTGGTATTGAGGAGAGCCAACAATGTAATTCAGAAAATTGACGCGCTACTCAAACATTGTTAGGACTGACAGCAAAGGTTTAGTCTACATTGGCCCAAGTAGTCCATACAACGGGAGTTTATCGCATTTTTCTCAATATGAAGCAACTGGCATGGTAGTATTTCCACTCCCCCTGGATAGAATGCTTGTCCATCGCAGGGCCATCACAGGGTTTTCCCCTCTCCCAGCAAAAAAGGCTTTTTGGTTGGGCTTATTGTTGGGAAAATTTATTATCAAAGAAGGGGGAGTGTAT